ATTCAATTTATCTTAAGAAGAAAGCATGGCAGGGATAAAAATAGAATAGTGGAGACCAAAACCTTGGAGTATATGTTCTCCCAACCCCTTACATGAGGGAGAGGAGGGGAAAAAAAGGACTTACAAAGGTCAGAAAGAGACAGGACATGAATTCATGTGGCATCATGACAATACATGATACAGAAGTCTGAAGTGTAGGGTGGCGGTGATCAGGAGTAAAAGAGGAGACAACAGGACTAAGGCCATTTTATCAAGTACTTAAGAGGACACTGAAGACATTGTGTGTGCAGTTTTCTGCAGTGACGACAGTAAGAACGTGAGTGTGCCACCAACCTAAATAAGGAAAAAGGAATCCTTGTAATGAACTAGTGAATCCACTTTAGATCACGTGACTGAGAATTTGAAAGCTCCAAGCAACCCTGTGACATCCCATAACTCTTCTACAGATGAGTTACACTAAGTATTATCGAATTCGACATGAAAACAATGAGATCAAGCTGATGGCTGAAAGTTTTAACCTTTTTCTCAATGTTAGGAAGATAATATGAGATTTTAAATACATTTGAAATTGCATAAGAAAGTCAGAAGGTATACAAATATTTCGGTGGAGTCAAGCTGCTTGAAAAGTTCAAGTTGATAAACTCCAAGGAGAAATTAACAGGATGTTGACAGCATGTCAGTGAAAAGTCAAGGTGGAGAGGAAGAAGGGCTGGTAGTTGCAGACAAACAGGAAGGTGCAATACATCAGAAGCATGACATCAGAAGCTAGATAGCACTGATATCATAAGATAGACTGCACAAGCAATGATTTTTGCTCAATCTCTGTTTTGGCTGAATTGCTGTTTTAAAATCCTATTGTCACATTTGTACTGTTAGGAAATCACGTGTCATCAAAAATGAAGAATACAGGAACATGCTGATGTGGCCTCAACAAGCCTAGTGCCTGGACAGTCACCCATGGCCTCCAAAGTCCTTTAAGAAATCAAAAGGAAATGCTCAAGTGAGGGCGCAACAAGGTTCAGTATTTTTAAATTAATTGAAGTTAATTCCTACCAGAAGTTACTAAACTCCATTAAAAGTCACTTCCAACAACAGTCCCTTTAAGAGGCAACTTATTTTTAGCCTATGAAATGAATTTTAAATCAAAATAGCTATTGATTCCTCAGAGGGGTCTCTCAAGTCGTTGACTTTAAATAAATATAAGATTGATGAGGAAACTCTGGTAGAAAAGCACTCTGGCTTGCTTTCTACTTCAAAGTTAAACTTCACACCTTAAAACTGGCCCACCCCAAACAGACTTTTACACAGTGGAGAGGTCCCTACATGTAGTTGGTGCAGACAGGCAATGCACTCCTAGTTACTAACCATGCTATTGCAGCATTTGACTTCTCTCTTCCAGACCCGGTAACTACCTTCAACGTTATTTTGTAAAGAACTGTCCATTCTCAGTCCCATTCAGACACGTGTGCATACACACAGACACAGATCAAGAACTACATTTTATTCCCTCATTTCTAGATGGCAGGACAATGAGACATAAAGCTCGTTGGATTTTAAAGGTAATGCTGTTTACCATCATGTGAGTGACCAAGGTGGGAAGGCTGTTTCTGTTTCACGGCACAGACAAGCCACAAAGAGCAATGACACCAGCAGCCTTAGTGCTGGGACTCCAGACGAAGGTGCTGAAGACTTCCTGGGTTCTAATAGACAGGATGCTTCAGAACGTTGGACAGCAACCAGCATGCCCTGGGGATGCCCAAGGTACACGGAAAAACATGCAACATATTCCTAATCAGTTGTACATCTTAAGGGTTAAATGTAGGTAGCAGGGTGATTACTCAAGATTCTTTAATCTTAACAAGGGCTGATATCAGAAAAGTAGTTTTTGTACCTACTTTCTTTAACTAGTACTAACTCATAGCAAATGGCATTCCCTGTGACTGGAGGGAAAAGAATCTGTTTAACGTGTACACCTACATAGTATATTTTTAGACATAATTTTTCCAATCCTGAATATTTTTTTCTGAGAAAAGCACATAAAAATTTTCAAGAAATTGATGCTACATTTAGTCATGTGTCATTTTTTAATAATACATTTTAAACATGATATATATATATATCAGAAGGATACTGCATACACTATATTTATACCTACATTTACACACACAGACATACACACACCCTTTTTTTCCTTTTCCATGAAATAAAAAACATTAATATCAGGAGTTCATGAATTTAAAGTAGATGTACTCTCCAGAGTCATCTCAGCAGAAATTATTTGCAAATGTTAAATTAATAATTTGCTCCTCAGTGCAACCCTTTTGCTTATCTGAGGAACAGTTCTAGACATATGTCAAACTGAAAGGAGGAATACATTCTCAAAGCTGAGGGGGAAATGGGCGGAGACCATCTACAACAAAATTCAGAAACTCTCCCCTCTCCATTCCCCGAGCGACACCTAGAGCCTGTTAGGAGGAAATTGCTCATGGTTCTCACTTCAAGCAAAACAAATTCCAACAGTTTTAAGTCAAAAGATTCAAGGCAAAAAGTGCATCATTTGTGTCTGCATTGCAGCTCGGTGGTCTTCCCCAAGATCTCTGGAGTTTAATCCTCCATAATTTTTCAACTGCCCCAATGAAACCCCTCCTCAGAGATTCTGGTTCCTTGCATCTGAGAATTCATGCATTTCCCTTAGGACCCGATCCACTGGAGTGATGGCCATCTCTGTGACAGGTCTTTGTGTAACTGGGGAGGGGCGGGGGTCTGGGAATAAACAAAAATAAGTAAATCTCATGCAAGCTCTAATACAGTGTGTGTGTGTGTGTGTGTGTGTGTGTGTGTGTGTGTGACCACATCTACAAACTTTTGCCATGTCTCCAGATCCTCCATTCACAAAACAAAACAACCAGTGAGGCAAGGCAGGACATGTTGAATGACCACAGCCTCGTGCTCAGGGCAGAGGCAGGAACTGCCCTGGGTCTGCCAGGGGAGGCCATCTGCGAGGCTTGTGAGAGGACTTGCATCCAGGAACCCCCCACCCCGGGAGGGGGGGCGGGGGGACACTCAAAGCTACACACAGTAAACTCTTGGACCTAACACACCCAGTGGGGGCTGGACCAGTTGAGCCAGTCCTGTCTGCCTGTCTGAGACCTTGTCTGGGATTTTTTCTCTGTTTTTTTTTTTCTGGGAACACAAGGTATCAGAAGCATCCCTTGGCCCTGCCTGGCCCTCTGAATAGCTGGAAGAGATCAATAGAGGTGGTTGAACTCATCCATCTCCGGCAGCCTTCGGGTGTCCTGCCTGAGTCATCGGTTACTAAGGTGATATGCAAATCAAACCTTTGAAACCCCCAGCTACCAGCCCGGAGAAGAGTAAGCCTGTTAGGAGGAAATTGCTCATGGTTCTCACTTCAAGCAAAACAAATTCCAACAGTTTTAAGTCAAAAGATTCAAGGCAAAAAGTGCATCATTTGTGTCTGCATTGCAGCTCGGTGGTCTTCCCCAAGATCTCTGGAGTTTAATCCGCCATAATTTTTCAACTGCCCCAATGAAACCCCTCCTCAGAGATTCTGGTTCCTTGAATCTGAGAATTCATGCATTTCCCTTAGGACCCGACCCACTGGAGTGATGGCCATCTCTGTGACAGGTCTTTGTGTAACCGGGGAGGGGTGGGTGTCTGGGAATAAACAAAAATAAGTAAATCTCATGCAAGCTCTAATACAGTGTGTGTGTGTGTGTGTGTGTGACCACATCTCCTGCAAACTTTTGCCATGTCTCCAGATCCTCCATTCACAAAACAAAACAACCAGTGAGGCAAGGCAGGACATGTTGAATGACCACAGCCTCGTGCTCAGGGCAGAGGCAGGAACTGCCCTGGGTCTGCCAGGGGAGGCCATCTGCGAGGCTTGTGAGAGGACTTGCATCCAGGAACCCCCCACCCCGGGAGGGGGGGCGGGGGGACACTCAAAGCTACACACAGTAAACTCTTGGACCTAACACACCCAGTGGGGGCTGGACCAGTTGAGCCAGTCCTGTCTGCCTGTCTGAGACCTTGTCTGGGATTTTTTCTCTGCTTTTTTTTCTGGGAACACAAGGTATCAGAAGCATCCCTTGGCCCTGCCTGGCCCTCTGAATAGCTGGAAGAGATCAATAGAGGTGGTTGAACTCATCCATCTCCGGCAGCCTTCGGGTGTCCTGCCTGAGTCATCGGTTACTAAGGTGATATGCAAATCAAACCTTTGAAACCCCCAGCTACCAGCCCGGAGAAGAGTAGAAAACGTGCTCCTGGAGAAGTTTTCCCACTGACACAGTCCAAGGTCGTGGCTAGTCCAAGGCCAGGTGTAGGGACAGGCAGGGCCTGACTCCCACCAGCGAAAACTGTGCTGGGCCTGGGACGGAGGGCTGGGCCTCGGAGGCAAGCGCTTTATTTTATGGTTCAGGAACGAGGATCACCACCAGCCCCACCACCAGTGCGGGGCGGGGGGGATTAGGGGAGGGGGTGGAGAGTGGAGAAGTGGCAGCCTGGGCGGTAAGGACTCCAGTGACAGGTGGGAGGGGGCCAAAAGGAGCCTGGGACAGTCTCTTCCTTGAGTCTTAAAGCAGACAAAAGAAAACAGAAAGAAAGAACAGAGAAACCAACTGGTAAGCACACACAGATCGAATTCTCTCCTTAGGATCCATAGCAGCGTGCGGCTAACAGCAAGCGTCCCCAGGGCCTCCGTGAACCCTCAGCCAATTCCACACCCCAGCAGCGCAGCTCCGCCAACGCTGCCCTCAAAGCCACCAACTCCTGGCCCGCCGCCGCCGCAGACCGGGACCCGCTCCAGGACGGCGGTGACCGAGATCCGCGCAAGGAGTGGATTTGTGGGCGCGCTTCCGGGAGGAGTGGGGGAGGGGATGGCGCCCCGAGACCCTCGCAGACTCGGCGCGGGTGCGTCTCCCCCGGGCTCGCCTGGAGCCCCGCGTCTCCCCCCAGCCACCCCCACCCCAAGATGCTCTTACGTCCTCGTCGTCACAGTCGCTCCGTGCCTGGTACTGGAACCGGGGCCGGCCACCCGCGCCACCGCCGCCGCGGTCCCGGGGCGCCGCCGCGGGCGCCTGGGCTCCAAGGGGCTTGGGCCCCGCGCCGTCCTCCTCGGGCCCCTGGCCGCCCAGGAGGCGGCTCGCCTCCGGGGGCGCTGGGAAGGACCGCGAGGTGTTGATCTTGCCCGTGAACCTCTGGTAGAGCGAAGCCATCGGTCTCCGCGCGCTCTCGCCGGCTGTCTTTGGGGCTTTTCTATATCGGCTTTCTCGCTCTCGGGCTCCCGCTCCCCACGCCCTCCGGGGGGAAAAGGGGAAGAAGAAGAAGAGGAGGAGGAGGCGGAGGAAAGGACGGCGGCAGCGCGCCTCTCCTCCCGCGCGCCACTCTCGAGTCGCCGCCGAGCGACCGCCTGGCTCTGCCTCCTCCGCCCCCTCCCCGGCGGCTCCGCCGAGCCGGGGTCTGGCGGCGTGTTCTCTTTCCCTTTGCTTCTCTGTTTTCAACTCCTCGCCACGGCCGCGTACGGCCTAATCAAAGCCATTGAAGGGAAGAAAAACAACAGAAAACCATAAAGGGAGGGAAAATGCCTAGGCCCCGGAATTTGGCACCACCTAGAACCCAGCAAGCATCCGGAGCGCATCTCCGCGCTCCCCCCGCCCCGGGTCCCCGCGCAGCTCCTCCTCCCCGCCTTCTCCCCACGCGGCCCTTCACCCCCGGGAACGGCGCCCGGGTGGCCCGGGGCTGGCCGCGAGGAGGCCGCGGAGCCAAGCAGCTCGTGGGTGCGGGAGCGCGCTGGGGGGGCTCCGGGCCACCGGGAGAGCGCACCCCGCCGTCTTTCGGGAGAGCGCAGCGAGGGAAGAGGCCCGCGATGGGGAGGGGCGTGGGGGGCACGGAGGCAGGGGGCGGCACCCCCAGACGCAGGTCCTCGGTTCCGCGCGGGGCTGCGCTCCGCGTCCCCGCGCTAGTATCGCTCGCTGCTGCAACCCCGGCGCCCTGCGGGGCGCTTTCCTTCGTGTTTCCCTTGAAGCTTTCCCTGCCTAACGTGAACCGGCAATAGCCGAGACCCCTGAGGGGCGGGGGTGCGCACGGGGTTGATGGAGAGCAAACCGCAGGGCTGCGAGGGAGGGGGGTCGGGGTCGCGGCCTCCGATGAGCCCCCTTCCTTCCCAAACCAAGCTCTGCTCCCATAAACAGGTCTCAAGAAGAAGAGAAGGAAAAGGTCACAGAAGGCAGGCCAGGGCCGACCCGGGCGCGGTGGGGGTTGCCTTCCGAGAGACTCAATCCAGCGCTCCTCCCGGCACACCCCACTTATTTGTGTGTATCGCGAACTTCATTTTCGTTTTCGATAAGCGTGTAAGCCTCAACGGAGGCTGAAGCATTTGGTGATGCCTGCAACTTTTCCGAAGCCTGCTCCGCGCCCGCCCCCAACCCCTGCACGGAGAGGAAGTGGGGAGCCCGGGGTGTGTGTTGGGGGGGCGACACCTGCTGGGGCGCTCGGGTCTGGGTGCACATTAGCTCTTCCTCTGCAGTAAAACGTGCTCCAGCGCCCCTGTGTGGAAAGACGCCCACTGCGCCTGGGCGCTGGGCTCCAGCTCAAACCGCAGGCTGGCGTCTGGTTTGCCCCGGCCTTCGGGGTGGACTCCTCTCTCCTGTCCTGTTGGAGTCCGCGCCATCGTCCTGCTTGAGGATCTAGGGCTCTCCCTGCTGGTCTCGTCCCCGCCCCCCTCACCCCACCCTCGATCCTCCACGTGCAGCCCTCTCCCCCTTGTTGGCAGCCCTTGGCCTGGGATGGATCGTCCTGTCCTGAGCGACTAGGACCCCACACTCCAGACCAGCTCACACCTGCCCAGGCGCTTCCCGGGCCCGTCCACTCCACGTAGATGCGGGCATCTTCACCTTCACCTTCCCCCTACTCCATGGTTTCTGTGACCACTTGAGAAAATGGCCAGGCCTGGGCCACTCGGCAGCCCCTACCGCAGGCTGCCAGCGCTTGTTGGGTCTGAGTTCAAGGCCACCTCCTGGCACCACTGTCCAAGCGCAGAAATCCCAGAGGGAAAGAGACCTTGCCGTCCCTTGGCCTAAAAATCAGCTGCCTCCTGTGCTGAACCAAGGAGGAAAGAGCAGATAAAACCAAGGAGGGTCTTGGAATGCAGGAATGGAAAAAGCAGACCCTCATCGTCCTTCCCTCCCCGGTGTTGTAACTGTTAATGGAACAGTAGAACCTGTCTCCCCTCCTACCCCATAGGGAGGAGGTATCTGCCCTACTCTCCCCCACCCAGGATGCATGCTTCATCCAATCAGCAAATGACTCGCAAGACCCCCTACCCCACTTCTTGTACCCTGGGTATAAAAGTAGACTAAGGACCCCTGTAGAACATCAGTTCTCCCTTGAGCTGGCCTGCTGTTGTAACAGCGTCTCCCACTCTAATAAACTGCATTTCCCTCTCGTTCTGTCTCATGTCTGGAAATTCTTTTCCAACCCACGCCCAGCCCAGGACACCTCCCTCCGTGTCCTTAACTTGGGTCTAAACACTGGAAGTCCGCTGGAAGAGGACCCCTTCCGATCCCTCCCAAGCTCTCAATCTAGCAAGTAGTCTTGTTTTAATTAAAATGTATACCACAGCTATCCTCTGGTTAATCCACTGTGGTTTCCTTCCACTAAGAAACAGAAGTGCATCTTAACATAGTTCAAAAACATGCTTCCCTTCCAGAAACCATAAAAACAAATAGAATCAGTAACTGGACAGCTGGGGGCTCCCCTGCACTCCAAAAGGCAGATGTGTCTCCCGCGGATCTGGGGGTGCCAGAGCATCCTGCCCCACATGACTGAAGACAGAGGCCACAATTAGAAGAACCATCCAGCTAAACCTTGAGTCATCACATTCAGATAAATAGGAAACCTTGCTTTCATCCCCCTTCCCCCGCCCAGCTGTGCTTCAGATCCATGAAACTGCTTTCCCAAACCAACTTGAAAGGAAAGGCCCCCCCACTGCTGCTCACAGTGGCATCTAGATCTGACATCTCACTAAATATAGAGGCTGTGAGGGTCCCACTGATGTAGTACACACACATATATATTTATGAAATGTCCATGTATATATTTACATGAATTGTGAGGAGAAGCATGATGAATATTTCTTGTGGCAATATAGTTCATACAAGATATTTATATGGAAATAGTTTATCTATTGCACACAATACTTTATAGATGTGTGTGTATCAACAAGGATAGAGTAAAAGGGAAATAAGGAAGACATGCAGGGTCTCTCACACTTGAAATTATATTTTCAAGTGATCATGTAGGTCTTCAAATTACAATTTGGCCAAATTGACAGGATGGGATGGCTGGATGGCATCACCAACTCAATGGACATGAGTCTGAACAAACTCCAGGACACCACGAAGGACAGGGCAGCCTGGCATACTGCAGCCCGTGGGGTCACAAAGAGTCAGACACAACTTAGTGACTGAACAGCACACAATAACAATCTCAACTAAAGGATTCAGATGAAATGATAAGCCATTTTAATGTACATTTATTTGTAAAGTGCAAAAAGGTATAAAGCCCACAAGGAACTGGGGGAAGAGCTGAGTACAGACTGGTGTCAAAAGAAGTATATCTGAAAATTAAACAGGACAAATGGAGGGGAAGGAGCTGTTGCGATGCGCAGAGGCCAATGTGATGTGAGGAGACAGAACACTAATGAGGAACCACCACAAGCTGCAAAGCTTCCTCAGTGCCATCTAAGAGATCGAGGGTCCATCAACCAACTTAAAAAGCATGGGCTACCTTCCTCCACCTACACACTGGATACAACTCATTCTAAAGCATGTTCTAGACTTTGAATGTGAGTCTGTGCACACATGTTGGCACGCGTGTATGCACTCACATATCCAAGTCTGCCTTAGACACTGATACATACATTGCAGGGTCTCTTTGGATAGTCTGTCAGAACTCTGAAGTCCCAAATGCAAAGAGGAAACTGGCTAATATTTTAGGATGAATGAAGTCTCAGTGGCACTTCATGATGCCATGAATTCATTCACTTATTGCCTTCAATAACCTTTTCAGAACCCCAACCTTTAAATAAGGAAAAAGATTCTGAAGGGTAGCAAAACTTCCCAGGGAGCGTGTAAACAGGCGCAGCGCTGCAGAAGGAAACTCATCAATAACGGCCTCTACTCAACACTGAACGTCTTGGCTACACAGTCTATAAAAGATTTCCATTCCTGCTCATTGGCTAAGTATGGGAATCTATTTTCAAAAATGTTCTGTGGATTACCTCACACCAAAATTTTAATTCCTCACTATGGCTTAAAACTCTGATCACCGACCCATTTTTTCCATCTAGTTTCATGATTATTTCTTCCTTGTTTATTAAAAGGTAGGAGTGTGTGTTTATTTTCCCTGGAACCAATTTACAAAACAAATATGGCAAATCATTGGAATCAGGCAGATGCTGCAAAATAGGATGGGTAGTTATTTTTTTTAGTGACAATAAAGGGAACTTTCTGTTCTATACACAAGTGAAGCATTGTAAAAATAGCAAACGTGTATTGAGTCTAGCAGCCTAGGCAAGCTTTTTATTACCTAAGAGGTTTTCTTATTTCTAGGAGAGAATTATGTCCTATAGTTTACTTCCCCTTTCTGTTGGAGGAGAACGAGGAGGACAGAACCTTGCTTAAAAGATTTTTATTCTTTTCCAAACACTGATATTTCAGAAAATGAAATGGCCCACTTGGCACACTCTGACAGAAAGGCTTCCCTAAAACACTGGGCATCAGTGTTTTTTAAATATTATCACATTGTATTCATACAAATGGAAAGAAATAAAACAAGTATTTTGGTTGCTTGAGAAAATACAGTACCAACTACATAAATACAGAGCACCCATTCTCTCGTGTATTCTCTCTTTAAAATAATTATTTATTTGCAAGATAACTACTGAGAGGGATCCGGATGGTGAGATGGTAAGATGTCCTTTTCAAACTTTACAAATAGGAAAAGTCCAGCACAAGAAAAAGAAAAGGCCACTACTAGGTTTGGGCTTCCCTGGTGGTAAAGGACCTGCCTGCCAACACAGGAGACTCGGGTTGGATCCCTGGGTTGGGAAGATCCCCTGGAGAAGGAAACGGCAACCCACCCCAGTATTCTTGCCTGGGAAATCCCATGGACAGAAGAGCCTGGTGGGCTACAGTCCATGGGGTCGCAAAGATTCAGACACAACTGAGCAACTAAACAACAGCAAAAACAACTCCTGGCCTTAACACAAAGTTAAAGTACGAATTGAATTAACCTTGGGCTTTTTGCATTGATACTTCAAGATTAATATGTTTTAAAGGAAAACATTTATTTTAAGCCTGGCGGGCTACAGTCCATGGGGTCGCAAAGAGTCGAACACGACTGAGTGACTAGCACTTTCA